AACACCCCCAGGAAGCCAGTCACCACCCTCTCAGCAGGAGAAGGGGCAACATCTGCCATCATCTTACCCATGTGAAAGCCAGTTCATCATCCTGAGGTGTGGAGTTGCCCCTGAAGGCCTGTGGCACCCCCCATTAGCTCTGGTTGCTGCTGGATTAATTGCTCCCACAGATGTTGCCGTTGCATAAGGTGAGCACAGTGTCAGCCTGCGGCTGCGGGAACTCCATCTCTGCAGCCAAAAAGCTAACTGGCCTGGGGTGCAGGAGACAAGACCAAGCATTTCTGGGGCTGCTGCCACAGGACAGGCAACACAATATTTCCAGCAGTAACACCTCCTCTAGCTGGCCCAGCTCCATGCTGGAGCATCAGAGAGTAATTAATGCCAACCACAATCCCCTTGCCCATCTCTGAGCTCCTGTTCCTCCCATAGGTAGTAACCTTCCTGGCCTGTCCCTTTTTCTAGCAGAGACACGTGGCTGGGATGGAGCTCCATGCACTGGTATCTGGGGCATGCTTATGGCCTGGCAGGAGACCCTCAAAGCAGACTGGTGACTCACGGGGTGGTGGAAGTTTGATGCACCACCTGTGGCCTGGCCCTGTGACCCATCCCTCCTCCTTCGCTCTGATGTCTTCAGCAACCCAGCACACCAAAAAAAGCCAAGGTAAGACATGGTGGAAAGCAGTGAGCAGCACATGTTGCACATGTCTCTGTATGTCTCCCAGTCTCAGGAGTACAGGGAAGGCTTGAAAGAATAAACTCAGAGACACTTCATTGCAAACAATGCAAAGATTTATTTCCATTTCAAGTGAAGTAGAAGAGTAAATACAAAAAATTCCCCAAAAATCTCCAATACAGAATATAATGTTCTCCTAGGCTGTACAGTCCACTTCTTTCTCAAAGTCTGCTCAGGGCCTGACTATACCAGAACTTGGGCAGAAGAGGAACCGAGAGGCTCTGTCCTTTGAGGAATGAGCATTTTCAAGGCCCTTTTCTATCAGTGCTCACATTTTAAGAGTTTCCTACAGGATTACAATCCAGATTTATTGGACTCTTCTGACAGAAATCAAAAGAGTAGTTTGAAACTTCGACTAACTTTGCTAAAAGGAAGATTCTTGGATATTTACAATAAAACCTACAGAATTTTTTTTTTTCTTATTCTTGGTGGTGCCTGAGAATTACAAGCAATGTGCCAGACAAAAACCCATTGAGATCCACATGTTTAACATATCCCCATGGCACAAGCATATACTGAGATCCAGTTGTCTAACATATCCCCTTGGCATATCCCCATATCCTCTCAGAGAGACCCAACCCCATGGCTCCCCAAGGACACAACAAGCGTATTTTCCTCTGTCAGTGGTCAGGCAGTCCCATGTCACACATGGGCACAGGGGCAGCACATCTCAGTGCCACGAGGCACAGCCAGGACAGACCCGCAGTGTTCAGCACACCCTTGGCACCTGAGCCTACACAACAGCTCAGAGAGCTTGGAATAGCCACAAAACCACAGCAGTGCTGGTGGGAAGGGATTGCTGGAGTCTCCAGGCCTGCTGCAAGCGGGAGGTTGGAGCACTGCCAGCACTAGCAAAGGGCAGGTACAGCTTCATCTGGTTTTGCCTAAAAAAGCTCGAAGCACAGACCAGCCCACACAGATATAGAGTCCCTTTAATGGTCCCAGTAGCTCTGCACAGCTCTGACCAGGGTTTCTAGCTGTTTGTGACCAAAGTTTAAGCAGTTTTTGACCATGTCTCAGGTTCTTAATGCGGCAAGCTCATCACTGTACCTGCTGCAAAAAATTTACCATCTAGATATGCCCAGTTTCCCTAGTTTGTAGGTACAAAAGATCAGAAGAGAAACATGAACAAGCATCTAGACCTTCTCTGCAAACAACACACAACTGAACCTACCCAATCCATGCATTCTAAGTCACCAAGATCTGTCAGACTTGTCCTTCAGACACTGAGTTTTGCCCCCTGAACTGCCTACAGATGCTATCTGAGTTCAGAAGCACCTTCCTCAAAACCTGTATCATCATTGGTGACCTTTTTTTAGACTGAACTCTAAACTGGCATGAAGGCTGAAGCAGAGAACAAAATGAGAGGAACAAGGGCCATAAGACATCTAAGATCTTCACTCTCATGACCAATGACAAGATTCATGGAGGTGTGAGGGAGATTTAGGTTGGATATCACCCCAGATGGTGGCTGAGCACTGGAACAGGCTCTCCAGGAAGCAAGCACCAAGCCTGACAGAGATCAAGAAGCATTTGGACTATACTCTCAGGAACATGGTATGATTCTTGGGGTGTCCTGCACAGGTACAGGAGCTGGGCTTCATGATCCTGATGAGTCCCTTCCAACCCAGCACTGCTACAATTTGATGAAAATTATCTGGTCCACATTGATAACTGCTTCTACAGGAAGGAAAGAAAGGCATTAAAAGGCAGGACAGCTCTTCTCCCAGCTACCCTCAAACGAGCAAGAGGTTGGCACGGCTTGCTGTCAAAGTGACACAGTCCAGTCTTTGCAGGCAATGAAAGCAGAGCCAGCAGCTATCAAAAATACTAGGAGCTGGCACAGCTAGGTGTACAGATCCTCTTCCAGATGGTGAAGGGGGAGTTGGGAGAGGTGTTAGCACAGCTGCTGGGGAGACCTGCCCCTGGCTGAGACAGCTCTCTTCAGGATAGCAGCAGCTTTTGGATGTGCCAGGACCAGGAAGAACAAGGAAGATACAACATACCTCTTCAGAAAGGATAGGAAGGGAAAAATCTGACTGACCTCAGCACACCAAAGAGTTGAGTGGTGCTTACACTTGTTGTCTGTGCTTGCCCCCCGCTGGCTCCGTACATGGAGCAGCCTCCCCAGCTCTGTGTACAGACAACAGCTTCCTGTGGTGCCACAGACAGGTCTACAGGCACACAGGGCAGTGCCATCAGGTCACTCTCACCTCCCAGCCCAGATGCTGCCTCACCACGTGCCATCCCTGGCACTCTGAACCCTTGAATCCAAAACTCATCTCCTGCATCACAGCCCTGTGGAAGGCGGATATACAATTTCTCATGTCCACCTACTGCAGAGAGCTTGACTCTTCTCCACACCAAGCTGTGCTGTGAGGACACCCAGCCACCTTCCTGCTCCGCTCCATTTCCTCTCTCATGTCCCACCTGGATAAGTGGACCGCAGCACCCACAGAAAGCAAAAAAGCTGCCTCTACACAAATTTCATCCTGCTGAGGACCTCACCTGAAAAATGAAGAGCAGAAGATACAGGTGTCTTCATGGAATCAAAAACTCTTTGCAGCAAAGCACAGCAGTAGGACAAGAGACAGTAAACATGAAATGAGACTAGAGAAGAGCTACATGGAGGATGCAAGGAGAAACTTCTCCCCACAAGGACAGCCAGGTTGCCCAAAGAGACTGTGCTGTCTCCATCCTTGGAGGGGATAAAGACTCAAATATATACGGCTGAGCCACAGCTGACCCTGATTGGGGTACCAGATTGGAACAGAAATTTCCCAAGGTCTTTTCCAACCTGAGTTATACTATGATCTATACCCTTCTCCAGTAAGGGAGACTCTGGTGTATGTGCACCCTGTCTGCTCTTCCAAAGCTCCTGTCGAGGTTCTGGCTGCACTTTCTCGTTTCCTCTCCCCATACAAGGCCCCACCACACTGCAGGATCTTCTCACCAACCTCCCCCTGGCCCTGGATACACAAGTTCCCACCTCCATGGGAAAAACAAGCTGTGTAAGAAGACCTGGGTGCAGGGCTGTGTCGGCTCCCTCTACACTCACAGCCCCAGGCAGAGCCCTGGGTATCCACTACTGCTCCAGACCCCTTTCCAGGGTGGTGGGATCTGTTGGGAGGGTTATGCTTGAGTTTCCCCACAGATCTAGTTTCAAGCTTCTGTCTCACAAACATTCCTATTAGTTGTTCCCTCTCCATATCTTTCTCCAGACTCTTTTCCATCCCCGGAAAGCTTGAAAGTGGAGCAACTGAAGATGAAAAGGCACCGTATCCTGCCTCTTGTGTTCCAGAAACAAAAGTTTTCTCCTATATATCCAGCTTCTCTAGGCTACAGACAGATCTGGGCTGATCTTGGGATCAAAGTAATTTAGGCTGTGAGTACCTCTGCAGACCTCAGGATCAGGTCTCCACTCAAAACAAGTCCAGATTCAGTGTTGTCTACAACTCAGAGGCAGATCAGGCTCCATCCAATCAAGTTGGAAAGACCTCCAAGGCCAGAGGTCCCACAGCTTCCCTGTGTCCCTCTTCTGGGACACAGGCTGCTGGCTGGGCATGCTTATGGTAGAAATTTTTGTAGTTCTAATCCCACCACTGTTCCCACCCCTGCAGCACAGAGCACAACACCTCGAAGGATGTGACTTGATACAGCCCTGGCATCCAAATCTTCTCCAGCCTTGACCAGACTGCTGTTGTAAAGCCTGGGGCTAAAGTAAGAGCCATCAGGGACAAGCCACCGCATCAGTGCCACGCATTCTGCTTTGACAGCTTTGCCTGCACGAGGCCAGGGAATGATTCCTCCTGCCTCCCTCCTTCACCTCACCAACAAACATTTAATTCTCTTTAAAAAAAAAAAACATCAACAGCAGAGAGAATTTTAAACGTGAAATCTTCCTGGGTAGACCAGAAGGGGCCCGGTTGGGTGTGCCGGGACAGTGGGAGCCTGGCAGGAAGCTTTGAGCACCTGCTCCAGGAAAGGCTGTAGAAGAAGAAGAGACTGCTTGACCCATCCAAGTACTTAGGAGTCCCTAGGACTTTTCTGCCGAGAGCGGACAGGGCTGGACAGGACACCCCAGGTCCCCAGGGCTCACTGCGACACTCTTCGCCAGGAAGCCTGGGCAGATGGCAGAATGCGTAGGTGCAGCCCAAGGTTCTTCAGCATCTTCCCGGGCAGCGCCGGGAGCAGCCGTGCCGGGCGATCCCCGCACTCCGCCGTCTCCCGGGCTCCGGTCCGCTCTGTCGGGCCTCTCCGGGATAGGTCAGAGCGCCGGGACGAACCTGTCGGGGCCTCCAGGGTAGGTGCCGTGCCGCGGTGCGGGCTCGGCGGCACTCAGCTGCCCCGCGGCGCCGTAGGCGTGCGGCAGCGGCGGGAAGGGCGCGGGGGAGCGGCGGCCGTAGAGCGCGGGGGGGCCGGGCGAAGAGGCGGGCAGCACGATGCGCCCCGACGGCGCGTACAGCGGCCCGTGGCCCCCGGGCGCGTAGGGCCCGGGAGCGGTGGGCAGCGGGGCGTAGGCGTGGGGCAGAGCGGCGGAGGCGCAGCCCTGCGCGGGGAAGGCGGTGGCGAAGGCGCAGGAGGAGGCGGCGNTGCGCTTGAAACGTTTTCTGCGGCGGAGGAAGGACCCGCTCTCGAACATGTCGCGGGCGTGAGGGTCCAGCGTCCAGTAGTTGCCCTTGCCCGGGCGGCCGGGCTCCCGTGGCACCTTGACAAAGCAGTCATTGAGGGTGAGGTTGTGGCGGATGCTGTTCTGCCACTTGCGGGGGCTGTCGCGGTAGAAGGGGAAGCGCTCGGTGATGAAGCGGTAGATGCCGCCGAGCGTCAGTCGCCGCTCGGGCGCCTGCCCGATGGCCATGGCGATGAGGGCGATGTACGCCGCTGCCGCCGCGGGTAGGAGCAGCGCCCGGCCCGGCACCCCCCTCCCGCCCCTCTCCGCTGGTCCCCGTCCCCAGCGCCCTCGGGGCGACGCGGAGCCGCCGCCGTCGGGAGCGCACAGCTCCGGAGGACTGACGGGCACCGAGCGAAGCTGGGTCGTCTCCGGGATCCCGGTGGGGGTGTCCGGGCACGGGCATTTAACGCGTCTCCCCGGAGGGCTGGTGGCCGTCGGGGCCGCTTGTGCTGGCGGCGGCGGGGAGGTGGCAGCGATGAGCGGCCGCCGCTGTCCGAGGGGATGCTGCTGCCGTCCGCGCCGGACACTCGGCCCCGGGCTACGTTGCCCAGAGAGCCCAACAATTCTTGGCGGAAATCAAGCTGTCGAAACAAATTAGGCTGGAAAAAACAGCCGGTGACAGATCTGAGTGGGGAGAGATAGTAAGTGCGGGCTTAGGCTAGGCGGTTTGCTTGCCGAGTGCTATGTAAATGCACTAAGGTTAGGGCCCTCCTAGCTGGTATCCAGCAGCGATTTGGCACAGGGCTAAGCTCCCGTGCCCTTGGCTGACACTTGAGCTGACCTGCTTGTCCCTAATCCTTATGCCACAGGACCCCACAGGTCCACCATCCAGCCAGGAAGGATGCCAGGCTCTCCACAGGCTGATGCTGGAACATACCTGCCAGCTCCCTCATGTTTGCTCAGATACTTGGGGCTGAGGGTCAGACCCCAGCTGAGTGTGCCAGCTGGTGAGGAATGCTTGCCCATGACTTGGACCCCTGTGACACATACCCACAGGGCTGGGGACAGCACAGCCTCCTCACCTGCTGGCGTGATGGTCCTTGCAAGCCAGAATATAAAGGAGATGGCAGGACAGGACGTCCTAAAGGTGAGATGGAAAGTGTGTGCAGGTGTGTGCACACAGGCATGTGTGTGCATGGCAGGGTGCACGTGCATGGCTACATGGGTGTGCAAGGGCACTGGTGTGGGGGTGAGGATGTGAGTGAGAATTTGTGGGAGTGCCACAGGTCAAGTTTGTGTCAGGTTTGTGACAGGCGAGTGTGTGTACAAAACAATGCCAGCACACACAGGTGTGTGGTTGGACCCGAGGCTTGTGTGTGGGCACGTAGGCAAGAAACAGATGTAGGCAGATGTGTGTGCAGAGAGGTGGATATGCACTGGTGTGCAGGTGCTGTGCATGGCTGTACACCTGATACTGCCCATGTCTTGGTGTCTCCTGCTAGTTCTTCCAGAACTTGAGTCACGAGTGCACTGCTGAATCTGTCTTTGTAGGGGAAGCTTTTCCAAAGCCCTCTTGGGCACTACACAAATTATTTTTTAAGGGAGAAAGAGGAGGTAAGAGCTGTTTATCCTAGTGAAACACAGCTTGCTTGGGGATGTCCAGCAGAGCTGTTGAGCTGTTTATCTGCTTGGAGAAAAATCCGGTGTGTGGTGTGTGTGTGTGTGTGTGTGTGTGTGTTTCAGAGAGAGAGAGAGAGAGCACCATTTCCATGCAGCAGACAAACCCCAGCTAAATAAGGGAGTCACCAGCCACCGCCTTATCTCTGCAGCTTCCCAGCAATCTGGGAGATAGCAAAAAGTCCTGTGGAGCTAGCAAAATAAACCATGAAGTGGTACTTGCTGTGGACTCACATGTGCATGTAGCATGTCCAGTAGCTGCACGCAGACACTGGGCAGAATTTCAAATCACATGCTGTAGAGTTTGTGTCAAGAGTGAAAAAATCAACCTCCTGTACCAACACCCAAGTTCTTGAAGCGCACAGCAGACTAGGGTAGTATTACCCTGTACAAAACAAAACCCATCTCCTTCAGTATGAAGCTGCCTCATCAGTAATTCTCTGCCTTCTGGCTTGTGGGATGCTGCAGCTGGGAATAGATTTTCCTATCAGATGTTCCAAAAGGCAGTGCTGTAGTTCAGTCACCTCTGGGACTGTGTCTCTCTGTGCCATGCCAATTCCATGCCTCCAGAGGGCAAAGTCAGATCGTGCTTCGCTTTGCACTTGTAGAGGATGGGGAATGAAAGAGGTGTGTGCTGAGGACGGGTGGTGTGCTGAACAGCTGCTTTTACCCTCCCTGCTGGTGTTGAAAATCCTTTCCCAAGTAAGCAGTTTCCTTGGCAGGGCCCGAAGCAGACTGAAATGGATACCCAAACAGCATGTGCTGGCTCTCGTCCCTTCTCCTTTCCACATCACACAGCTTAAACTGTGGTGCCAATATTTGGGAGTGAAGTGTTAGTTGTATAACATAGTGCCCTGGAGACTACTCTCAATCTGACATTATCATAAACCTGTTTAAAAACACTTTTAAGTCTCTACTGTGGGAGCAGGAGTATGTCTTGTGTTGAGCATTGGTGTCTCTTTTGAGTACCAGTTCCCATGTGGAGGGAACTATGGAGAACATGAAACTCCAGCTAGCCCTGTTGGATCTTAGACTGCCGATCTCCTCCATCTGTAAGTCAAGTGGTGCCTGTTGCTGGAGCAGAACAGTTGGTGTTTGTGTTTGTGAAGCATTGTTATCTCTTTTGATTCCATCAAGCTGCAGGACAGACAAGAGTAAGTAAGATAGAAAACATGCATTGATTAAACCTGTTCATAATGGAGTTCATAATACAATCAAAAATGTATGATATCTGCATAATATTACCCATACGGAATCTATCACTTGAACTTTCTTTTGGTCTCTGGGACAAAGTTTAGAGTTATAATTTTTTCTGTCTAAATTTCTCAGCTCAGAGCCTGCTGACACTAAGGTCTGCAGCCTTCAGCTGGGCAAAGCAGTCATGGATTGTGAGACCACTGCACTGCAGAGTTGCACCCTGCAAAAGGGCACTGTGCCTTGGCCTCTTAAAAATGGAGGTTTTTAGTGCTGGTAGCTGCTAGAGAATTACCCCAACCAAAATCCCATCTGCTTGGATCTCCAAGAGCAATTTCCACCCATGGAAAAAAAATCCACTCCCCACACAGTTGCCCTGTTACAAACTACACCACTGAGCTCGCTCAGGGGTAGAGTGTGGGGACACCCTGCTCTTCCTTAGTCCTAGGACCTGAGCTGCTTCTTCTACTTCAACCAGACAAAGGAAAGTGGATGCTAAATGTGTGGACAGCCCCTTCATGTGTAGCACATTAATAGCTTTGTTTCCATGTCAGAATTCCTCTCTGAGGTGAGGAAAAGTTTTGCCTCTGTGTCCCAGGAACTACAGGGCTGTATTTAATGTGTTCCAAGTTAAAGGTCTGGCAAAATCAAAATCCCAGATCATACTGGCTGAATGCAAATGAAGTGAGAGCACATACCCATGGCACAGCCACCACCCCAAGCTCAGCTGTACCTGTCATGGAATGGCAAGTTTTGGGGTTTTTATTGGCTGTGTGTTTGGTGCCAGGACCTTGTAGAAGTGTGGAGAGCATCACAGCCAGGCACCTCATGAAACTTTGTGAAAAGGTGCTTAGCCCTACCTGCAGTTTGTGGTTAAGATCTGAGAGGGGAGCATAAGCCTGAGCCCTTTGGAATAAGAGAGGTGATGGCATGGCATCATTCATGCACTTTCAGAGCACATTCCACAAAGAAGTATCCAGAGTGACTGTGCTTAAGATATTTTGCACCTAACTGGAGTTCATGCGTGGGAGACAAAAACAGGGAGGCGATTGCATGGATTTTGGAACCACTTTGTGGATAGATTGTGGTGTGGGGACTAAGGTGAAACCTCTGAGGGAGAACTGATGTGCAGCTGGACATGGAGTATGACCACTCCATGTGGCAGAAGGGAGGCTGGAAAACAACATTCTACAAGGATACTGCATCTTTTCACCAGCTGTTCACTTGCCTTGTCTAGTGGGGGCAGTTTCACTCTCCATCAGTGGCCTGGTTGTTTAGTATTGGTGCTGTTTTTCCAAATTACTGCAGCTTCTCATCACTTTGTTGAGTTTTCTATGGGAACTTGTGGCTGCAGCAGGGAAAGAATTGCTTGCTGAGAGGATCACACGGATATAGCCAGGATCATGTGGGAGACTTGAGTTAGCTGTTGTGGTCATTCTTCTGTAGGAAAAACCAAAACATCATGGTGGCTTTAAAATAGGCCATGTCTCAAGCCAGAAATTGGGGCAAGAGCTGTGGGCAGTCTTAGTCTTCATGCAGCATGGTTCCACCTAGGCAGGGCACCAAGCATGCTTGCCTGACAGCCCAGCAGCTCCCCTGGCTCCTGGGGGGAGCAGGACCTGCAGCAGGTGAGGTGCCACAGGGGCAGGTGCAGATGGGCAGGGCAGGCTCTCTCAGAACAGAACACCACCTCTGAGCATTCCCTCAGGATGCTGCCCACTCACTGCCCCACTCGGGAATTTGGTGTGAGCAGCATAATGGAAATAGGATTGGCCATACAGCGTGGGAGATGTGCAGGATTGGTGCTCTGGGGTGATGGTAGCGCTGAACTAGAGGGCGTGGCTGACACAGGGCCCCAACCTGGAGGGACCACCACAAAGGGGAGCATGGTACTGCTGGAAAGCTTGGGAAGCCCAGCAAAGGAGAGATGCAAGTGGTGCCCTGGGGCAGCAGTGCCTGTGTGCTGGTCCCAGCTGGGGCCCGGCTGCAGAGACTCCGGGGAATGCTGTGCATGGGGCTGGACTCCGTCCAGGAGTGACTCCTGCAGCAAGTGAGCCACACTCCGTACTGGGTTTCCTGAGGAGCACAGCCTGTCAGGCAAACCCAGGTCTGTGCCAGCACTCCTGAACAGTTACACATGGAAACTTGCTGTGCACACTGGCAGTGAGAGCCTCGTTTAGCTAAGACATGGAGCCACAAAATGAAGCAATAGAAAACACCACATGTGATGTGGGCAGCAAGGAGCAGGCACTTTCTTGGTGGAAGCCGTGTGGATACAGCCTGAGCTGGATGGGCCGTAACACATCCATTTGTTCTGCTGAAGGAGAATTTAGAGTTGGTTTCCAAGAGAATAAGCGGCCCATTCTTGCCTTTGCATCACCAAGATATCACTGGGACTATTGCAGATCAGTCAGATGCTTCAAAAAGGAGGAGCTGGCTTTTTCTGGAAACATGCAAAGCAGATTCAGGCTCTTCTATAAGCTGAAAATCACTTGCTATGCTTTTTGGGTGGGTTTGGGTTTTTTTGGGTTTTTTTGTTTGTTTGTTTGTTTTTGTGGGGGGGTGTTGTTTGTTGGGTTTTTTTTGTTTGGTGGTTTTTTGGTTTTTTTTTTTGGTGTGCAGGTGTTAGGAACTTTGCATGGGTCTTGCTCCCCTGAAGCCTGTGAATTTCAGCACCTCATGAAAATCTTCCGGATGGGTATCCTTGAATAGCCTGGGTGTCTTTGAATAGCTGTCAGACACCCGTTGGCATGGAAATAAGTTCTATTTTGCCTATCAAATGCCCTATTTGGGCAGTCATTCAACAGTTTTGAGAGGTTGAATCTCTGGCAGGGTGAACATCTCCTACTCAGTATTTCCCAGGTACCCTGCTGGGACCTGGTCTGCTCTGCTGGCTCACAATAGGTGTCACTGGCACCTGACAGAAGCTCCTGCTGAGGGCCCACAGGGTCAGAAAGACCCTGAGGCTTGTGCACAGGAAGTGTTACCTGATGACAAATTTTTTTAAGACAAATTACTATTTGCCAGAGTAGTAATTCGGCCCTCTTCACAGTTACTTGTGAAGCCTGATGCTTGATAGAAAATTATAGAATACAGCAGTTTAGAGGGAATTATTAATTGATGGCTGTGGAAGCTGGGAATTAATATTTAAGTGT